GTAGTTTTGAACCATTGTCAAGTGACGAGGACGACGCCTGAGCTGTCACAGGCACACACAACCCCTCACCATTGCAAACTTATAAGCCTTAAGTACCTTCAACTTAGGACACGCATGCTGCGAGTCATTTGCCATGACAAGTTGGAAAAGAGAAGATCTTAAATATCGAATGTCTATCAGTATAATCAATAAATAGTTTTTTGAGCCTTTTTTTCTCCGTAGCAATATTCGACCAACATCAATCTTATGTTCATAGTAGCGAACTCTGGCTGGCATTGTCGAGTCGTTTGACACATAATACCCACCTTGTAGAGCAGTTGGTGCACGCTACATCGGTCGAGGCTTAAAATCCCCACGTTGATGGGGTTTGGAAGTTTGGACAGAGGATGTCCGCGCTCGAATGTGGTTCTTGTTTCATGACATAATTTCAAAATTATACCAATATACATCGCAAATTCAAATCTTTATTTAAAAAAATGATAGTGGGTTGTATTTAAATGTTATTGTTCGGATCTAAAGGTAATGTTCAAATTTTACTTGGTTCTTAGGAACTGCAGATCATTTTAATTTAAATGAATGATGGAAATCGGATTTTCAAATTCTAGATTGAAATTGTTCAGCGAGATAAATTGCGGAGAAATAATCCTAGTTCTCACGAGCCGGAAGAACTATTGCGTATAAAGTAATCATTTCTACATCTGCCAATTAATTAGTAGAAATATCAAATTAAGCTTCAATAAATATCCAACAATTTGTTTAGAGAGCAGAATTTAATTAAGGTAATTAAATACATTTGAGAATTTAATCCACTTTCTTCTTACTCAGCATAAATCAAAGCATTGACTTGAAATAACAGAAAGCTTGGTTATAATAATGATTAACGATTCTAATTTGTAAATTGAACCGAAAAGTTGAAACTTTGAAGAATTATGGAAGTACTAAGTTGTGAGCAAATAAAATACAGTTAAGCTGCTGTGTATTGAATCATTTTCAAAGACCTGCTGTACATTTTTTTCTTTCTTCCGTTAGTGGGTACTTTTAATAACTCATATCTTATAACCTTCTATAATCCTGACGTTTAATTTGTTTGAATACATATATATTGATTTAATTTACAACATGAGTATTTTAAATTTCGAAAATGATGTGTATAACTAGACATTTTTTTTTGCTTTATAAAAGTTTTTACAGAGACTGGAATAAAAGTTTCCGTTAACATTTTAAATCCCAAATTTGTTCAGCTTTGAAACATAAAAGTTTAAATAATTATAAATATATAATAAGCATATCCTTTTGAAATTTTTCAAATGATAAAATCTCCAGAAGATCTGTCGATAGATTATACTACACAGTAGTTGAAGCAACCAATTTTCCATTTAAGCGAATCGAATAAGCAACTTCTAGACATCGCTAGAGATACCCAGGAGCAGGGCCGGCTCTAGCAGTTTTGCCGCCCCGGACAAAAATGAAAAATGCTTCCCCCCTCTCTCTCTATTAATATATATATATATAAATATTTGCCTATATATTATTTTGTCTTGAAAGATTTATAACAATTCGAAAGTAAGGACATAATTACTTGTTATTATTTCAAACGAGTGAAATGTAAGAGAAGGAATCGTAGAGATTTCAGCAGGCCAATATCTTCAAAAAATAGTCTACTGATGGTGGGGATCACAAGCGTATGTTTTAACTTATAATAACTACACTCAGGACTAAAATAAAACACCTCCTGTAACTCTTTATCTATCAGAACTTCTTATTACCCTTGTCCTTTTTTGGATAGCGGACACTGTACATCGTAAGTGTGGAAAGAATGTTCGTTGTGATCTCACTCCAGGACAGGTAGACATTTACAAGTGAAAAATGCATAAACATATTAAATCCCATGCTTTAACATATACTCCCGCATCAAACCCTTCAAATTTAAACACAAAAGGAAACTGTCATTAAATATATAGTGTACAAAAAAAATTAAACATTAAATGCAATACCAAATTCACACCCAATAATATTTAAGAAAATATATCAAATTCTTTGTAAAAAAAAGTATTTTTCAAATTCCATCCAAATGCCGCCCCGGGCAGGGGTCCGTATTATCCGGCCCTAGAGCCGCTTCTGCGTGGAGTTGTCAATGAAGTTACCAACAGCTAGACTTTTGCTTATTTTCTTCCACAAATGTATATAATTGCTTACTTCTTTAAAATAAAAGTTGTGTGTATGATTTTCCCTGTAAGTTTTCTTAAATTAACGTTACTATACAGTGGCATAACGGATAATATTAGAGCCCCCTGAAAAGTGAGGTTTTGGGCCGCAAGTCAAAATAAGTACTTCTTGTCAGTCTTTCTTTGGTCCCTTAGAACACTCCCCCCGCCTTCCGGTGGGTGTACGTTTACATCACTGTTAATATATCATTCATATAAACTATTAAATTTTACTGCCAATTCTTTAATGGGGATCTTAGAAAAACATGGTATACCTTAACTTGTGACGGGCTCACGCGTCTATTCATTAACATGTCCTTTGGGTTCTTTGGGGCCAGAATTAATGGCAACTCTTTTCCAAACAAAACCAAGAAGTGAAGCGTGAATGAAAGATGCAAATTAGGAAGCTTTTAAATATCAGAAGTTTGAGTAACGTGTGTGGCAATTTGAGAAATGTTATGATAATCAATTATTTAAGCGTGAAGAGGTTTTGGAAAGATTAACTGACAGCTAACAGAAGTTATTCCTGACATAGAGCCATTAGTTCAAGGTTCATACCATTGCACTCCAGTAAGTACGCAACTTCTAGTAAGATAGGATCGGTCGTTCGACATTAAGGTAGGAGTGACTATTTAATATTAGGATCTGTGATAGTATTGGAATTGAGTTTAGGCGAGTTAGTTATTGATAGTGGTCCGGGTTACGTAATTTCGGTATTATATATATATTGTGTGTTTAGCCACCGCAGATCTCTCATGTATAGCATTATTATCTAATATGTTAGAAGTTTAAGTTTTAAAACCTTAATAAAGTCAAATTAAGATCATGGCAGCTTCTAGTTCTTACTTTATTCCTGCACCTGTAGCTCACGCTGATAATCAAGGAGAAGGGGCACCTGAGGGGAGTTCCCTTACAAACTTTTGGAAGCTATACAGGTATATACGAAGGACGATCAGAAAGTCCCGTCACTTTTTTTAAAGGATAGATGGTACATCAAGAGAAAATAACAATCATCATAAGAAATATTCGTTCAATGACGGAAGTATTTTCAGAGTAGGAGGAATGACGAATGCGCAGAGGGTTGAAGAAGAAAGATCAGCAGCAGATCGGCGTGTCCGGAGTTATTTAAATACAATTAACAACGGCAGGCAAACATGTGATGACAACGGGTTCACGAATGAAAGTTTGTGAGGTTATCCGATATGAATAGGATCGTGGAACTAGTGTGTCCATCGTCCGTGACCTCTTCAGATCATGTATGGCAAGAGTGCCAAACTCAAAGGCTAACTTGAGCCAAACAAACAAGGTTTAACATTAGATGGGCCACAAAACAAAACCAATAGTCATAGAAATGAAGGTTTATTTCGAATAATACATTATAATAAGCATATATAAAAAAACTAGAGCTTGACATCCCTGATGTTTGGGGAAGATGTCTTGTCTCATCGAATGGTTGCTCGCTGGTGTTACAAAATAAGAAAGTTAGAGTGTGAAAATGAAGGTCAAAGTGGGCATCCCTTCACATCCAAGAATGAAAAAAAATTGCCTCATCAGACTTTTACCATTTCCTTTCTCGAGACCCAACTTACAGAACAAGACTAAGGCGGGGAAAGATGTGTGCGACAATTCCTCGCTTCGCAGGGTACCTTACAAAGTGGTTTCTTCCAACTGATTGCATACTAAGATGTCTCAATGTCAGGAGTGTCTACGTCGAAAGAAAATGCATGATGTGCATTTCATAATGACATAGTGTATTTTTTCTGGCAATAAAGTTTTGCGTGAAGGAAACCCCTCAACACCCTTTGTTCCTATATAGAGCGAAAGAGCAATACAATTTTATTTCAGATTGATGTAAAATAAATTTTTTTCATCACAAAGCCAGAGGTGAAAGCAATGGCCGGAGAGAATTTGGTAATTGTGTAAAGCTCAAATCCTCCAGACTCCACTCATCTGCACTAATGTCTTAAAGCCGCAAAACTCTAAAAACTGAATCTCCCCATGAGGCTCTAAAAAGCCGGCCGTTTCCACTACATTTGTTTTTAATTAAAAGATAATTAAATTTCTACTAATGTATAGTGACAATGATAATTATTTGGTTAAATATATCGATTAGTTAGGATAGAAGTTAAGTTATTACTTTCTACTTTACGAAAAAAATATCACACAAAAAAAAGTAGAAGTAATTTTTATTTTTTTCCGTAGGATACGAAACTATTGTTATTAACTGGTAAGAAAACATGTTTCATTCCAATTTAAGTTTAATTTGGGGTTGCATGTTACAAATTTGTACTTACAAAAGATATTTCATCTATTTCAATAAAAAAATATATAATCTAGCTATCCATATCATACTGGGTCAAAAATGAACAAAATGTTTAAACCAGCAAAACATTTATTAACAAACCTGTCTTTAAGTGGCGTTTAAGAACTCAGACAAAAGCAGAAATTCTATCAACTAAAATTGCATACAAAGAAAACCATTCCATTGCCACATCTATCTATCAACAAGTAATATATAAAAATTAAGTCAATTTCTTCTTAGATCAACAAAGGAAAATTTTACTTTAGTAATTTTTATTAAATAGTTACTGTTAATATAAATATATATATACATATGACATAATCACACTATTAAGTGGCAAAATAGAAAGCAATTTTCTTTGCAATTTTGAATTTTCCTTTCGATATATGGAGTTGGACTATTATTTTTGTTTGTTACTGTTTATTCATTAGTTAAATTTAATTATCTTAATAAAGTATTATAGTAAAAAGAAATCCCATTCTCAGAAATTAGGCTATCCCAGGTGAGATTCGAACCCACGACCTTTGTATTGGAATTTCAAAACGCTATCCATTGCGATATAGGGACACAACGAGTTTTTCTTTTTTATATATGACAAATATTTGTAATATACATTTACATACATTGAATGTAACTATTTAATATAAACTAACTAAACAAAAAATTTTCTTTCTTGACCTAAGTAGGATCTGACTTATTTTTTAGCGTTATTTGTCTATTTTTGTATAACAAATTTCTCTACAATTTTGATCCTTCCGAGTACACAAAAGAAATTCCTACAGAATTTCTAGAAATATTTTTCGTTTTAAAAATTATTTAAATAATAAACGTTTTACCCGTTGTCTGAAAATCTATCAACAATTATATAATAAATACTATATATATATAAGTTACATAAAAATAATTAACTTAAAAATTTCTACAAATATTGTGGAAGTTTTTTTCATGGTAAAAATTAAAAGATTTAAGATTTTGAAAAGTTAAATTAAGTGATTGAAGCTCAAATAACCACTAGAATTTCTAAAATATCTTTCAAAATCATCATTACTGAATACGACGAGAAATTGCCAGAAAATGAAATCTAAGACACAAAAATATGAACCTATAATTTCAGTCGACTTTCCGAAAGAATTAAGATACATCAATTAAATACCAAAGTTCACAACCCAATAAACGAAAATTCAGCCGTTCTTCAAATGTTGAAGTATTGAATTACTACTTATTCTAAATTGAATTACTTAAATACACTAAGCAGATAATTTTGAAATTAAACCTCTTTTGAAAAATTGAAAAAAATGAAGATTTTAAAGGAAATAAAGATAATTATAGATGCAAGGAAAAGTAAATGTATTCCTTACAAATGCATAAAATTTATTATAAAACAGACTGAATGTGAAAAATTGCAACATTGCAATTGTTTATGAGAATCAACTGAGCAAAAAAATAAAATATTGAAGAAGCATTCTTCAATTAGTTTACGTGCAAGGGAATTAAATAATGTAATTATCCATAAACATAAAAGTAAATTATTCCGGTAGCTGCCGCAGAGAAATCTAATTATTGTTAATAATTCCTCATTGTCTGTTAATACACACACACACTTTTCAAGTAATATGTAAAAATTATCTTTCACGGCTATTAAATGTTTTCATCTACGTTAATTGTTTCAAAGAATTTTCTTTGAGTAAACTTTTAATTTGATTTTAGAAATAATTTCAATAATTTTCTTTCGAAAGAATGCACGAATTTCTCTTCTCCTTTAAATACAATCTATTTCCCTTTATCATTGCTAATTTTAACTAATTTAATTTTAAAGAACACGATGAAAATTGTAACCTGCAATTGAGATAAGATGCTCCTCAAGTTTGTTTGTTTGTTTTTTAAAATACGAGTATTTCATAACACTTGCTTTCATGGATTCGTTTTAATTTAGTTATTTATCTTTTAAAAAATATAACACTTTCTTTGTGGTAAGTTTCTGTATCATTAAGATTAATTTATTTTGGTAAAAGAAAACATTAAGGTGAAAGTTAATAATAATATTTTTATGGTTAAAAATTTAGTTGCCCACCCCTTTATCCCAAAAAATATTCTATCATACATATGTACTAATTCACATTAAATTTCTCTTTCAAATTTTGAATTTGTAATGGCCCTGACCCTCTAGGACTTCGAGTAAATAAGCAACTATTAAATACCTGCATAACGGAATATAACCATAACTTTATCTCTTTGAAGTTAAAACCCTAAGTGTATATAAATTGGGAATTATATTAGAATATCAATCCATTATCTGGAGCAATCAGAAGAGGCGTCTACGGAAATCATGTGAGTTTTTGAACTTCCGATTACCGCTTTGTATAATACTCCCATTTTCAGGAAAAATTCACTCCGCTTATTGTAAAGACCATTTAACCACGCACATCCAGCTTTTGCGTTATTTAGTGTGCCGTCTCCTAAATATAAAAAAAAAATGGATTACCCTTCCACAAAACAGATTCCTTATCAATCCAACATTCCCTACATTCACATCTATTCTTAACCAAATGATCAATAGTTAATTGCAAGAAATCATATCACTCGCCCCGACGTTGTGTGTGTGCGGTACGATATATCCGTGTGGGGAAGTTGAATATCTTTTTATGGCGATTGACAGTATGACATTGATGGTATTGACGGCGATTGACATTATACCTTTAATGGTGAACATTTTAGACTGTTGAGGTTTTCATATTTGTATTGACGAGGCAGTCGTTTGCAATTTTAATTCCTGTTTATTTTCACATTTAAACATATAGCGTTACGACATCACGAAAATCATACTAAGATACTGATGTGTTAATCTTACCGATTAACACATACTTTAGGCGAAGACAAGAAGACAAAGAGAGCGAGGAACAAAGAACTGTTGCATTTTATACGAGTTGTGAAGGTTGCGTGACTCCTTCTAACCGAAGCCACGATTGGTCAGAAACTGGTGGAGGCGAGTTTCAGAAGCAATGTTACTATTCGATTACGATTAGAATCCCAATAAGGCGGGCTGCAAAGTTAAAATAATTTTACGCGTTAGCCCTGAAGGACTGAACGAAATAAATAAAAGTTACTGAAAAGAATACTAGAGAGGGAATTATTATACACATATATATATACATATATATATATGTATATATATATAATAAAAGATTTTTCAAAAAAAATAAAATGTATATTTAAGAAAGTATTAAGTATTTGTTTCATCATTATATATTATTAAATAGATAGGAAATATATATTCCAACTTCAAATTAAAATACTGCGTTGTGTCAAATCAGTGTTTTTTAACCGAGACTATATAATTTTTGTGGAAATCCACGAGAGATGGTGGATTTTCTCAGCGATTGTAAATAAGAAATCTTTTGATAAAAAATATCAGCAAAATAATTTAGAAATATTAATAAATAAACCAGTGTCATTGTAAAAAAAATTTCAAAATTCATGGTTAGGAAAGTTTATGTTTTCAAAAGCGTTTTTTTTCCATTGCAGTTGCGGAGCATATAACTTTTTAAGAAATTCCGTCTTTAAATTACTATGCCTAAATTTGAACTTTGGTAAATATACTTTTTTTCTGAGTAGAGATCATGTAAGAACACGCTTAACCCAAATCCACATTCAAAAGAGAGAGCGTTTAAATTCCCGCTTTGGATGTATTAGACCTAAAGACTGAAACTTTGAAAGCATGTTTCTTTTTTTTTTGTTCAGTAGAGATCCCTTAAGAACGGGAAATCAACAACAAAGAGGATTGTGGTGGAAAATAATATAGACCTTCGTTTTAGAAATCCAACTCTTATGTCATTTACAAATCGAAAGACGAGGGATATAAGAATATTTTTCTATGCATTTGAAAGTTTAGTGCTTATAAACAGTAAATGTAGTCGAACAAAATTATGAGCTCCCAGCAAAGCGGGGAGTAACGGCTACTATTTCATTATTATCGAACAAAATATTGGGGATTTTCTTATAATCATTAGAAATTATTAATAGTATTTATCTTGTAAAATATGGTCTTTACTTCCTCTTCTACAAATAATTTTAAGGGGGTAAATCCATGTTGACGGCGTTTTCTAAGCATTTTAGGACATTTTTTTTTGAAGACCAGTAAAATGATAGAACTTTACGTTTTTTATCATTTATCTATATGTAACTCAGAGCAACGTTTCTCAAACTGTGGGGCTGGCTCCCCTAGGAGGCCATGACCACTCTGCGAGGGGGTGGGAAGAGCATATTGAACAGTCGAAATCAAAATTTTATGTAATTAAATTTGTTTGTTTGCCTTCAGTAAACTAATAAATGCATTCTGAAAACAATAAAAATAAAATACACATTTATACTGATATATTACACTTATAAATGTATCAGTGCTACACAATGTATTTTATAATTAATTTAATAGTGCAAAGTTTAAGAGCAAGTTTAATAATTACCAGTGACCCGATGAGCTTGTCATATATACAATTATGTACAAAAAATTAACACTTATCTTGATCATTTGTACGGTTTATAATTAATTCCTTAACTGCAGATTAAAAGATACGCGATTCGCTTTCCCATGCCAACCGTTTTCCATGTAGGCCCACGTATGCGATGCATTGAGGGGGGGGGAGTAAGGAATAAGGTGGTAAATTATCTGAAATAAGTAAGTCCTTCGCGAACTCCGTCAAGGCTCTTTTATAGCACCCCAAAGCCTTCGGAATAATTTTGTGGATAACAGTGCACAGAAAAGATCGTATTTCGGGAAGACGTATCTGTACATCCGAGGAAATTAACGCTTTGGCTGAGTGAGAAGTTTATATACGCAAATAGCACTTACGAGGTTAAAGTCGTATTGAAGCTTTAGCGTCAAAGTATTGTAAGATTGAATTCAATACATTGTTTTTGTAGGAGGGGGTGCGGTGAAAATTTTGATGGAATATTTGATCGCAAGTATTGAAACTTTGAGAAGCACTGTCTTAGAGTATGATATAAATCTTTAACCGAAAATATCCAATAGAACGTAAGTTATAGCGCTCTGAACACACGCCCCTCGAAAGAAATGGACGCTCACTTCCTCCACGATTCCGGCTCATTAGCTTATCTGAAATTTAAAAAAAATTAACGGCGTTTTAATCTCGTATAAACTTAAATGCACCGAATGAACTATACGCATTTGAAAGTACCCCAAATTGGACTTTTGTGTGTGTGTGTGGTAGATCTTTGAAGAGAAAAGTTTCGAATTTCATGGGGATTTTGTTATAAATGAACACAAAATTTTTGAGTTTTGAAATTATCGTAGTTCACTTGTTGCGTATATTCGTGCTGAGTCTACCCTATAAATTTATAATCATTCGGCCAAACCGTTCTTGAAATATGATGAAGAAAAGTTTAAAAAACACAGTTTTGAGATAAATGCGTTTAAAATTTCAAGTCCGATTAAAGCCATGGAAATCTTAACTAAGCACCCCGAACAGATGCTCTTCTAATACCCGCTTCATTATAAAGATTTTGAATTTTACAATCTTATTTTACCATGGTATTCTAGGCATGTTATTGAA